ACTAGGTCTTTCAGGTCTGAATTAAACAATTAAATTCTATTATTTGACTATACAAGCAACCCACTGAATTTATCACTACATTTTTCTCTAAACCAGACTTATTTCCACACAGATCTTTCTATGACACAAACTAAGTGTTAATTGCTAACCAGGCCTGGTCTCCTCTTACTCATCATGAGTGTAAGGAAGTCCTGATAAGATGCATTCCTAGTTTTGTCAATAGAAAGAACAGCAATAGTTTTTCAGTAACTCAGCATTTTCTAAAGACATTTGTCATGAAAAAGGAAAATCAAAGTGTTAGATGATAAGCAGTTTAGTTCTCAGAGCTTTTGATTTATATCCTTGTGTCTATGAATAAAGCACTTGCTTTTATTGTATCCATTAGAAAGGAAATAGAGGGTTTGACTAACATTAAAAGTGCACTCCGTAGAGCTATCAAATGACATTACCTCTAAGATGATGGATAATTATTTATTTATATCTAGTTTGACTAAAAGCTAATGAGCTATATTAGGAAAAAATAAATCTAAAATAAAAAATTGAATAGCTGAAAAATCCCTACAGGTAGAGTTCTTTAATCAGATTATAAAATAGGGTTTTAAGATTATAAAACGGGGTATTTCAGAATGATCCATCTTGCTGTTATTGTTTCAGTATAAACCACAGGCTGAATGTAAACTCAATTATGAATATGAATACAAATGACTTCCGAATCCTACAGATCACTATTTGAATCCTTTTTCTAATATTCTTATTTAATCTTTTGGAATTCTTAAAGAATATGAGATATCTTATAATATAGAGTATTTTTCATTAAGTTGCAATAAGGAAATAATATTATGTGAATAATGAGATATTGAACTCAACAACTATCCCAAAGAACAGTGATACACAGGCTTTGGTTTTTGTTTTGTTTTGTTTTTGTTCTAGTTTTGTTCTAGTAATTGACTCAATTACTAGGGTCGGAGAAGAAGAGAAGGAATTTGTAACAAATAGGCCCTAAACCTAAGATGAAGAAGATAAATGACAGTTTAAAGTCATTTCAATACAACATTTCAAAACATACTGTTTTGCAAATTTACACTTAGTAGCATAATTATACACTACAACAAGCTTTCAGACAGACGAAATCCTATCACTTTCCAACTGGAGCCACTGCAACTGAAGCCCACATAAAATTTATTAAGAACACTACACCCCAAATACAGTTATCTGCTACTTACACTATAGACAGGAGTTCCAGCTATCATTTCCTATCCCACTGTAAATGCAGAACAGCTTAATCTACTCAAGAGATAGAACACTCACTTCCTCTTGTCTCTTCAGAGGACAGTGGGGTATTTCAGAATAATCCATCTTGCTGTCATTGTTTCAGTATAAACCACAGGCTGAATGTAAACTCAATTATGAATATGAATACAAATGACTTCTGAATCCTACAAGTCACATGAACATAATGCAAGTAAATAACATTTCTGCTAGTCCACTATCCAAGCATTAATCTGTACAACAAGCAGTTAAAAGGTTTTTGAGCTAACGACCGCTGACAAATTTCAGTCTGTCTCTCTCACTCATTTTCTCAGTCCAGTTTACTTATGCCCTGTGTCCTAACTCCCAGCTCATTATTGAGCTTCTCTTCATCAAGATGTTTCTGAACAACACAGAAAAGATATTTCTGAACAACATGCAAGCATGTCTCCATCTAGACAGGATATTCAAACCATAGTTTGAAGTTCAAATGTCTCCCAAAAGGCCTTATGTTGAAGCTTAATCCCCAAAGTAGCAGTGTTCAGAAGTGGAGTGTAGAGGGGTGATTGGATCTTGAGAATCATGATCATCCACGGAATCCAACCTGAAAAGGCTATTAGGAGACGAGGCCAAGTTCCAGGAAGTAGGTCACTGGGGGCTTCCTCTGGAAGACAGATCTTGTCCTTGGCTCCTTCCTGTCTGGCTCTCTCGCTCTACTTCCTAGCTGCCATGGGTTGAGCATCCTCTTCTGCCATGCACTTCCACCACCATGATGTTCTGCCTCATCACAGGCCCCTAACAATGAAGCCAGCTGATCCCTGACTAAAATCTATGAAATTGGGAGCCCAAATAAACCTTTCCTCCTTTGTTATTCTCAGGCACTTCATCACACAATGGAAAGCTAACTAAGACAAAGGATCATCAACTGTATACATATTGTGAATTATTAATTTCGACATTCTCCATCTGTCCTGGGAGATATAAAAGAGAACTGCCTAAATGCCAGGGAGAGGGAACCATCCCTGTGAAGCGCCCAGCTGTCTCTGAGAAAACATGCAATGAACCATTTCCTAGGCGGAGATACGAGATACACTGCAGAAGTTCCTGACACAAGCTTACGTTAGACAAGCAGAAAAATGAAACCACAGAAAGATAAGAGAAACATGGGTCTGTCCACACTTAACTGGACTGTAGAAGATTACTGTCCCAGTTTACTAGGGAAGTGACAGGTAGAAAAACAAAGTACAATCCAAAGTTAGAAAAAGCCAGCTCTGTAAACAACAAGTACAAAAATAGTGAGATTAAAAGCACCATACAGACATGAAACAAAAATCTCAAAGAGAATACTATCCTAAGATTCTAATAGCTGAAAATGTGCTAAAGTGGTTGGGATCAGGAGTAACAGATAATCTGAACATGAATGTGAACATCATTAAGAAAGCAGGGTCTAGAAGATCATTAA